ATATGAACATTTAGTCAAATTTAAATACACAGAATATGTAATATGTATCTTCTTTTAATTCAATTCACATTCATTTACACCACATAACATAGATATTCATACATATTACACAGTTTCAATTGCAAGTACTTATAATCTTTTACAATTTATTTCATTAATTTAATCTGATTTCGTATATAGTGTCGGGAAAATAAATAGGATCGCGACATCTTGAAAGCTTTTGACTATTTTTGTTTTGTTTGTTTAACGCTTGTTAGTTTTATATAAAAGTATATTGGAGCTCATTATCAAACAAAAATAATATAATATAAAAATTAGAAAAATTCTGGCAAAACTTTTTAGGCCAAAACTTTTTAATTAGAATTAAAAAAAAAAACTTTATCTACATAATAACATGCGTTTGGTGTTACGAGATATTTTATGAATGTGTGCAGTGTGGGAAAAATAAATACGTTTGCCACGTCTTAAAAATTTTTGGCTACTTTCTTTGTTTGTTGAATGTTTTTATTATTAATTTTGGTATGCAGTTTTATAGCACATCAACTTATAGTATTATAAAGTGCGATTGTAATTTTAAAGAACATTTAATATTTTCTTATATTTTATTCAAATTCTTATAATAAGAATGTAAAAATAATATACTATCAACTGACTTCGGCCCTAATCTGTTACGCTTTTCTGTTATAATATTTCCTGCCAACGAAAATGCCCGCTCCGCTGCTGCACTACTTGCAGGAATAGAATGAATTTGCTGCGCGAATTTTGACAAGCGGGGATATTTTTTTGCATTCATTCTCCACCATTCAAATAACTCAAAATCTTCAGTTAATTTTACAATTTCTCGGCTGTACCTCTCTACTTCTTCTAGAGGAGTTTCTGGAGTTTCTAGTTGTGATTCTCTCAATAAGTCTGAGAAAAAGAAGTCAATATCTTGTTGGTGGGATTGTGATGGTCTGGCTGAACGTGCACTTGAGCTTGTCGGATCAGAAGTTACTAAAGACAAATTAGCATCCGATAGAGTTATTAATGAAGCTTGTGGTGATGTGGAAGTTGTTTCGCAATTATCTAAATTACGAATGCAAGAAACACAAAAATTTTTTATTTCCATAAGATCATTTTGCTGCTTGTTGGCAGCTGGTGGATACAAAAAGAAGGCAGTCTTATGCCATAAACTTAAATTTTGAACCCATATGTCATTTATATTCCTTACAATGTTTTGCTTCAAAACTGAAACGGCGGCTATATCCGTATCATTAGGAATACAAAGGCTTTTAATTTTTTGTATTGAAGGTAAAACAAAATACAAAGAGGGAGAACTA